ATCTTCTTATATAGGGTAAGTACTAAATATCTATACGTCACTACGTCAATGATGAACGACAGTCAATGATATAACTTTAAAAATCGTTTAAACTTTAAAGGTTTACAAAATCAATACTTTATCGTAATATCGACTTGATTTAATAAACTTACTTGATTAATACTGTATACATATAAAAACTTCTAAATCTATTTTCTATTTATTTTTATATCTTGATGAGTATSATAATTGTTGGTCTTTTTAGAGTTTTATGGATTTATTTCAAGTACCTAAAATTCAATTTATTCTTAAATCGAAATTTTGCATTCATCAGATACAAATTTTAATCAGAGAAACCAAGGATCCAACGCAGTCGAAATCTGTTTGTAAACATACAATTTATTAATTTTTAATTCGATGTTATATTATATATAATCATCTCGAATGAATCCAAAATTGCATATTATATAAAAATATATACTATAAATTTAAGTATATAAAATTTATATAAATGATTTAATGTGTAGTTTTGATTTCTTAACATATATTATTATTTTCCTAAATACGATGTAAGGTAATGAATAAATCGTATTTGAMGTGAGTCACTTTCGATAATAGTGTACACAGCAGTAACCATACACTAAATTATTTATGTAAATACRCCYAGGTCACTGTGGTTTTGCCARTTTCCTGAGCCAAGTGAGCAGCTTTTCGCGAATTTTCAAGGTTAATTGTACATTATCCTAACATCGTGTATCTCTGATATATGTCTATTGTCTAATGAACATTTATATATCTCAATTATTATATAATATAATTATTGATATTAAACTGTCAGMAGGAGGAGCAATATCTACCTACGACTACACAGAAAATTGTTTGTTAAGTTTGATCCAAGAATCACTTAAATGTATAAAAGCCATTACATAATATGGCACCTATATTTTCTCTTCCATTATTTAAAATTAGATAAAACAATATCAACAAATATAATAACGAATACGAGTCGTAGAAGGTCTTTTATAATGRKACGTACAATTTAGTTTATAATATGTCACCGTCACTCTCGTCACCGAAATTAAGCAACAAAGCCGGTATTGACGAAATGTCACTTGTGCTCTGGTGCTCATCGATTGCCTGATTGTAACAAATTTAAAGCGGCATCCGTTGWCGACCGTTACAATACTGTCTGCACCCATCGTCTTTGCATGGTTTGTTTGAGGGAAGTGCATATGTCTTACAAGTGCCCTGCATCATGCTCTATTTGTAAGCGAAGACATCACGCTTTATTGCATCGAGAGGCAACCGCAAAGAAGCCCGTTCCGCCTGCTGCTATTCTAGGTCGACAGGACCGCCGTTCTATTAGGCACTGCCCTGGTACATGTTCGGGGTACAGTGGGGAGCTTCAGGACAGTGCGTGCATTGATTGATTCCGCATCGCAGATTAGTGCGATAATCTCCCATTGCTGCGACAGATTAGGTCTTCGACCGTCGCGTTGGACCGTTCCGGATTCAGGGTTATCTGGGCAGAAAGTCCCGGATGTGCAAGGGAGACTGTTTGAATTATAGTAGCTAATTACATATTTTATTAAGAAAAATTCCATTATATAGCCGGTTCAGTAATTAAAGTAGGTATACATTATAAGGTTATAAATTTATAAACCAATCTCAATTATTTATATAAAGTCACATTTTTGTTGTTGTTATTGATGAGTATGATAGGAATATAATATTTTGAGTGATGACGGTTTGAACGATTCATATTTTCTTGTACGATGAGTTTCTCATTTAGGAAATCAACTACAGTGAAACCTCTAAATACCGGACACTCTCGGTCACTTAAATGTCGTCCGCTATTTGGAGGTGTCCGCTATTGAGAGGTGTCCGTTAAAGGAGGTTTCACTGTATCTACAAATGTTTACAAATTGATTTTTATTTCCAAAAATAAACGCGTTTAAATAGATTATACCGATCATAATATTAAAGTAATCATTTAAACAGATTTTCTCGGAATATTTATATAATTATTTATTCATCAACATGGACGATTTTCTATAAAAATATATTTAACACGTTCACGCGTAATATATTATGTACGTTTAGYCTTTAGATCTGTTTATAAGTACATCAAAAAACAATATGACACGGTTGACAAATATTTTCGATACTTATATTCATACAACCTATAATAATATAATGTAATATGCATATTATTTGGAAATATTTTTTAATAKAAGGTTATGTTTTAATAAAAAATAAATAATATTATTGGATTATATTCTCAAAGTGCAGTATACCCATAGTTGAAAATCTTAACAAAATTATAAATTTTTTTTAAAGTCATGGCACATAGAATATTGTATTTTTATACAGGTAGGTAATAATAATATTGTCGTTCCGTCGCAATTATCATGAAATAATGGAATTATAAATAAATTTGATTATATACCTACCTATAAATTATAACAGTAACTTAAATATTACCTACCTAACCAGCTGACATTTTGTTGTTAATATCTGTATAYATAAAACAGTAAGCTGATTGACTGCTATCAACGCACAGCTCAAACCATTGGACGGATCTGGCTGAAATTTGGCATACAGATAGCTATTATGATATTATAGACGTGCGCTAAGAAAGGATTTTTCGAAATTTTGAATTTAAAGGGTTGAARTCGGTAAAAGAAAATTTTTACATGTAATTTGTATATCTAAATACAATAACAGTCAACCGATTACGGGAAWTACGGTACGGCACGGCGACCAGAGGGTTTCCATCTAMCTGTACTCTGACTTTTAATTTGTGGGTGTATTTTATCAGCGTGTAGATATGAATTGTTCAGTATTGGTATTGGTATAGTGTATAAATATATTGATTTGTACGGCATTGTCGGCGTTAACGCGTTGTCGGCGGATAGAGCCGCGGTAGCACCGTTGTCGTTTTCACGATAGAAGTTATTAAGTAGTATTTAGAAGATATTATTAAGTGATTATCCTACATATTATATTAATAGCTGCGCGTGACGAAAACGTTTGCTTATATAAAATTTGTATGGCCACTTTGTCGTTGTCGTTGTCATGAAGTGTAATATAAAACAGTTTTTTAGATTTTTTCGTGTTTGGTTTTTGTTGTTAGAAGGATTAATTTAACGTTGTTTAATTTAATTACCTAAGAAATAGCTAAAGAAAGTCTTTTAGTTAAAGGAGAACTTGAACAACATACTGTTGTCCCCATTGTTGGCGATGGTGCCTGTTTATTCCGAGCTCTTTCTTTTTTAATACACGGAACACAAGACAATGCGATGGAGGTGCGATCACTAATTGTTGGACATGTGGTGAATGCTTGGACCAAGTTTTCAGTTATGTCCCACAATATAAATAGTGATAATTACTCAACGGCTAATGAATGTTATGCTGATATGATAAAAAATGAAACTTATGGTGGGTTTTGTGAGTTTATAGCAGCRRGATGTATATTTCCATTTAATTTTAAAGTTTATCGAAATGGCATCTTATACACGGAGTCCGGATCTAATGATTGTCCAGTAAAGCTTTTACGATTTGGACAAGAATAATTGTCCAATGGTCATTTTGATGCTTACCTTCCTACTGCGACAGAAAACAATACTCAGAGTCGTATAGAAGAACTGGTCGATGAACGCGAACATTCACCTATTGCATCTTCAGTACACAGTAACATTTCTGCAAACATTTCACTATCTCAATCAAGTGAAACAGATAAATCTATTTCGTCCTCATTAATTAAAAAGAGAAAACGAAGAGCTAGATTTACTAATTATACAAGAAAAAAACAAATAAAAAAAGCACAAAAAAAATATAGACAGAATCAAACTGAATCTAGGTATAAGGAAAATACTACTATATGCGTCTATGGAAAAGCAAGGTGCATTCAGATATGGCATATGATCCAGATATTGCATATAGAACTGACACCTGTGTAGCTTTGGGTTCTATGACCTATAAGTGTCAGTGGTGCAACGCTTTGAAGTGGAAAGATGAGACACTTGGTATGTGTTGTAGCACCGGAAAAGTACAACTTGAGAGGTTAAAACAACTACCTGAACCTCTCTATAGTTTGGTTAACGCTCTGCACCCAGATCATGTGCAATTCATGAACAATATTCGAAAATATAACGCCTGTTTTCAGATGACGTAATTTGGTGGTAAACAGGTAACAGCAGACGGTTTCTTACCAACTTTTAAAGTTAAAGGACAGGTCTACCATTTAATTGGAAGTATATCACCTGAACCGGGACAGGGCGCACAGTACCTTCAAATCTATTTTGTCGGTGAAGACGAACGAGAATTAAATATTCGGTGTTCTAAATATCCTAACTTAAAACCCAATTTAATCAAACAACTGCAGGATATGCTACACCAAGTGAACCCATATATAAAAGATGAAAAAGTGCCATCGATAAAATACCTCCTTCAGAGTCATTTAAAGTTGTAATACTTGCAGATAAAAAACCACCAGAAGAACATAGAGGCAGGTATAATGCACCAACGGCAAATGAAGTTGCTTTAGTGTTAGTAGATCAGCTGTTTGATCGAAGAGACATCATCCTCGAAAACCGAAGTAACTCACTTCACCGTATCAGTGARATACATCGAGCATACGACGCACTGCAGTATCCTTTAATGTTTTGTTGGGGGGATGATGGGTATGCAATCAATATACCACAACGCGATCCAAAAACCAAGTTACCGCTTAAACAAACTGTCTCTGCAACAAGTTTTTACTCATATAGAATAATAGTCAGAGAAGGGGAAGACAACTATTTAGTTAATTATCATTCTCTTTTCAGTCAATATTTGGTAGATGAATACGCCAAAATTGAAACTGAAAGACTAAATTACATCAACGAATGGCCCATGCCACCTTCAAATTACCACTCAATCTAACAACTTCGGTCACTMCCTTTTTTAATATATCAAAACAAAGTAATTTTGCGGAAGTTTTAAAAGATACAAAATTAATAGTGTGGGACGAAATTACAATGACGCATAAGGGCGGTGTTGAGGCTTTAAATAGATCTCTAAAGGATATAAGGGGAAATAAAAGGTTAATGGGTGGTGTAACGGTTTTACTGGCTGGAGACTTTAGGCAGACTCTACCAGTAGTACCAAAAGGGATCAGAACTGATGAAGTCAAGTCATGTCTTAAAAGATCTATTTTATGGCCTAAGATTAATATACTCAAACTGTCAAAAAATATGAGGGTACACTTGGGAGAGGAAAAGTTTGCTGGTGGATTTGCAGATCTTTTACTTGAAATTGGCAATGGTGATTATCCATCGTTTGATGAAATGATAACTATCCCAGAAAATGTGTGCACAGTTGTAACTACGGTCCAGGATTTAATATCAAAAATGTATCCAGATATTGCTCATATTCATGATAATCCTATGGACTGGTTGTGTGAACGTGCTATACTCACTCCAAAAAATGACCAAGCTGCGGCTATCAATGATACACTGCTGATGTCTTTTGAAGGGGAAGAAAAAGTATATACTTCGATAGATACTTCGGTGGTCAACATGGACGATGCAACTAATTATCCGGTTGAATTTTTAAATTYATTGAAACCACCGGGCATGCTATATCATAGGCGTATTCTGCGTGTGGGCACACCTATTATGTTGTTGTGAAATTTGAAATCGCCTAAACTGTGCAATGGGACCAGGCTTAAAGTCAAAGCTTTACATCGCAATAAAGTAGAAGCCACAATTTTAACAGGATGTGCAAAAGGAGAAACTGTGTTTGTACCACGAATCCCTTTAATTCCGAATGATCATCCGTTCGAATTTAAACGATTACAGTTTCCTCTGAAAGTCTGTTTTGCAATAACTATAAACAATTCTCAAGGCCAAACTCTTAAATTTGCAGGAATAGATTTGCGAGAAAACTGTTTTTCACATGGACAGTTCTACGTAGCTTGCTCACGCGTAAGCTCRCCCAATAGCTTGGTGATTTTGTCGCCTACTAATAGATCAGTGAAGAACATTGTCTACAAAGAAGTTTTGCAGATAACATATTGAAAAACTATTAGTAAAACATTTATTTTGAACCTTTAGTGCTAAAATTTATCGTGAACAAAGCTTCTGCCGCTAAAACCTATAACTTATAGAATAGGTTATGATAATAATCATTTGTATAAAATATTATTATTTCAAAAATCTTAATTAATTTAAATTTCAATAGATTTAACAAAATTTAATCTTGGCAGGTAACATACATTTATATACTTAAACCCGGCAACGACGGGTAATTCAGCTAGTGTAGGTATATTTGATCACAGTGTCCGAACCCCTAATGAAAATATCAATAATAAAAAATAATACCTGTATAATAAATAACATTATTATGGACATTTTTTTTTTTTTTTACTGAGATGACTAGACAATTCAATTTTAAAGTATTGGCTAGTTATCATACAAATAAATTGATAATCAAAATGTGTATTATATTTTTTTGTATAGAGATGAATTTATCTAGATGAATGATTTTTTTATCTTAGATAATTATTTAGATAAAATTCAAATATTTATCTAGATAAGATAAAAGATAACTAAATAATTATCGAGATAACTTATCTAGATAACTTATCTAGATAAGTCTCAACACTGCGCATCACATGTCGGGCGTAATTAATCGTTTTTTTCCCGAAAAACATGGTTTCGTACTTCAAGTAATATGGCTTATTGAAAGGGTTTACAGTAAAAATACMTATTGTAAAAAATGTAGAGAAGAATTTTTTCTTGAATCGTAAGAAACCCGATTTTTATATCTTATTCTAATCACCCAATATCGCATAGTATATTAACAAGTTTTTTTAAACTTTTTATCGACCACTTACTAAATTAATTAATAAAAATATCGAAAATTGAGCTTCTTACGATTCTAGATAAAATTATCCTCTACAATTTTTATAATAAGTGATTTTGCTGTAAACCGCTTCAATAAGCTATATTATTTGAAGTACGAAACCATGTTATTATGCAATATTTTGTTCACTAGTGCACCCTCTTAAGTCAAAATTTAAACTTTAAATGCTTTTTTAAAAAAAAAAA